AAAGGATGCCATGACGTTGCAGCACTGTCAGGGCCGGTTTCAGGGCACGACGTTTCGCAATGGTAGATGGTGCTAGATCAGCGAAGACCTGGTAGTCGTGGCCCTGAAAGGAGAGAGAGGGGGACTTGCGTGCCGCCTGTAGGATGGCTTCCCTCGTTCTAAAGTAAAGAAATTTTGTGATAATGTCCCTGGGGGGGCCATCTTTCTGTCGTTTCGTCAGCGCTCTGTGAATCCTCTGGAATTCCAGGCGTTCCACTGGAATAGATGGCGTCAGTTCCTGCAGTAAAGCGGTTATCGTTGCCTGTAGGTCTATGATCGTCTCAGGGATACCGCGAATTCTTAGATTGGATCTGCGGGATCTGTTTTCTTGATCCTCCAGTTTTAACATCAGTTGGGAATTGTCGTCCCGGAGCTGATCCAGTTCCTTATCATGATAATCCATGGTGGCAGTGGTTACATCCATGCGGGCCTCCAGGTCTGCCGTGCGTTTTCCCAGCTCCCGGATTTCCCGTGTCACCTTGTCGGTGATCTGTTTAGAGGTGGTCTGTAATGCTTTCTGGAGCATTATATCTATGCGCCTGAGCAGGTCATCCTGGGATGCTGTGCACCTGTCTGGCGAGGGAGAGCTGGCTCTACTGTCTCTGTCCGCAGCATCACTGGCAGAGCATGTTGGAGATGGGGCTCGGGAGGAACGTCGCCCTGTGTCTTTGGGCGCCATCTTGGAGGTTGCGTGCGCCAGGGCCTCCTTGACAGAGCGGGACCGAAGCCGCGAGTGGGAGCCCGACACCGACATGGGTAGGTGCCGCTCAGTATCCGGTACTCACTGCGGATGTTTTTAGGGTGTCAGCTACCGCGATGTGTACGGTATGTCCGTTACGGTCTCGGCGGGGTGCAGAGCGAGGTTAAGCCGCGGCCATCTTGTCTCGCCGCGCGCATGCGCCCCCTTAGCTTAATTTTTGTGGTGCCTTATATATTGCTGACAGTTTATGTTGCTTGTACAACTGATCAAGCATTTTAAGGGTGAAATTCCATTACATAACTTAAATTTGACAGGGACGATTGATTTGCATTGGCATGGCCTGGAGAGTAACTGGAGATCCACTAAAATTCAGAAGTTTTTGAGCCTTTCTTTATTTTAGGAAGCCTGTCATGAGAGACATACAAGGGCTGCAATGGTTGATCTTTCTCTAAAATTGTATCAAATGCAACAGTGGAAGAGAGATGTCCTTTGTTGAAACATAATTTTTAAGCTTTGTCTGCTGTTTTCTATGCTGTTTAATGAAATAATAGCAAAAGGGTGCCAATTTCAGAGCAGGCAAGGTTAGGGATGGGGGGTGTTGATAAGGTGGCAGCTGTGGTGGTGACAGTGTGTGTGTATGGGGAGGCATACAGGTGCAGTCATGGGGAGATGGAGGTCTGGTAAAGTGGTGGTGATGGGGGGTTGCCTGCTGGTCGTGGTGATAGTGGGGTGTTGCTAGATAAGTGGTGATAGCAGGGGGATGGGGTGGTCTGTGTCTGTACTTCTATGCTGTTTACAAAAATTATAATGAATTCCCCTTATGCACAGGTGAATAGGGGTGAATACTTTTGCAATTTTACTGTATGACCTTATTTTCCATCATCAAATAACAGTAAATACATTTTTACCGATTGATCATTGTGCATAAATCAATTAAATCAAACCATTTGCCTTTGAAGCTTTAGCCACCCTAATATTGTACAGTAGATGTAGGAAATATAATTGGATGGGATCCAAATTGTTTATATATTGCATGCCTTAGTAAGTATTAAAAAAAATCGATTTATCCTCCTTGATAAAAAATCGAATATCCTCCTTGATACAGCTGGTAAAGCGTATACTCCAGCTTGTTTCCACTCTTGGAAACCTTGCAGTTTATATATTTCTGGGATGGATTTATTACACCAGAGTGGAGTATATTCAGTATATTTTGAAATATCTAATAGTTCTTTTATTGTACTCAATATTTTTACAATCAACTTTACTGTGGGCAGCCACATATATTTCCGTGAATAGTTTGAAGATTGTAATGCCTGTAAGGGGGGCAAATGTCTGTATAAGAGGGATAGTAATCTGTAAGGGCTTTTAGCAAAGTTATCAATGCCCCATGCAGCCAGTTATTGTAATTGTGCTGACATAAAATAAAATTTAGGGTCTGGAACATTGAGACCCCCACAATCTTTAGGGAATTGTAAATATTCTAAATGCAGTCTTGGATTATTCCTTTTCCAAATAAGTTACCTAAACATAGGGGTCTATTCACGAAGCTGCCGAAGGATCTGGCCGTAGCTTTGGCCGATCCTTCGGCTAGCTTCGGCCCCAGGACCCCTTCGGTTCAGTAGAACCGAAGGGGTGCTGTACGGGCTATTCACAATAGCCCGTACAGCTCCCGATCATGGCCGAGCGGCTCAGCCGAGCCGAACGCATATGCATCGGCTCGGCTCGGCTATTCACTCACTGCTGTTTTCACTCTTTTTCTGTTCTGCTCGGTGCCTCTGAGGGACCGAGCAGAACAGCCGAGCAGAACAGCCGAGCCGAATGCCGCTCGGCAGCATTCGGCTATTCACTCACTGCTGTTCGGGATCTTTAAGAATAGCCCGAACAGCAGTGAGTAGTCTGCCGGATGTTCGGCTCAGCCGATCCAGATGTTGGATCGGCTGAGTCGAACTCCTTCTGCACTTCGGGTCGACCCGAAGCCACACGGAGCAAGCCGATGTACGGCTGATTTCAGCCGATGTTCGGCTGAAATTAGCCGTACCAGCCTTCACTTCAGATCGGTCATTCACTCGGCTGCC